TACATCATGAGAGAGTGAGTATGCAAACACTACACCAAAATTTAAGTTTTGATTAATTTTTTTGCTCTTCACAATCTGTGAAGGTTAAGCATTAACCAAAACAGCAATGTTTTCTTCTTCGTGTACCATCAAATTTCTTATAACATACAACATCTTTCAAAAACCTGTTATATCCTCGAATTGGTATCGGTTTAGCGGAAAACAGAGTAAACCAGATCAAAACCTTGCTCATCTGTCGTGTTATTGCATTCCGCCAATTGTTGTGTCCTGCCATTTAGAAAGGATCAAAATTTTGTTTATTTGAATTTTTTTACTGACATTTGGTTATTTCGGTTTGAGAATTAAAGAGTTAACAAAAACCGATTTTTGGTCTTGTTTGGTTAAAAAATGGTGAATTTGAGAGAGGTACCATGGTGACGAGGAGTAAGTGATGCCAAGTCCATTGCAAGTGAGTATCATTCCTTTAAATCTAGCGAGATATTCCTGCGTTAACATTATAAGAATCGGTTTATCTCAAAATACCGATAATGCGAAAGCAACTAAACTGATTTCGAATGCTGAAAGTAACATTTCATACCCGCAAAGTATATTTGTGAATCTCGTAAATACCGGTTAAAATCATACTCAAAACGTAAAGCAGGGTCCATTAGCACTGCAAAAAGCAAATCACATGAATAACTCAAGTTAAAACAAAGTTTTGGTATTATTATTGACACAAATCTACTAATCAAATTGTGAACCTAATTATTATGCAAAGACTTTATTACCATTATAATAGGCTTCAGTTATCTCTTGAAATTTCGAAGTAGCCACAGTATCACCATTGTGCTTATCAGGATGCCACTTCTGCATATGGATATATAATCTCAACAATCACTTCACTACTCAAGTTACAATCTAAACCAAATTTACAAAATCTGAGTTTTTTTTAATTACTAACCAATGCAAGCTTCCGATAATTCAGTTTGATCATCTCCTCATTCGCATCATAATCAACTTGTAGAATCTTATAGTAATCCTTCAAAAAAAAAAGAGTAATTCAGACTCTCGTATTAATGGATCACTTAACTTGTTTTAGAAATAATCAAATTCTTTAAAAAGACACAAACTTGCCAACATCCAACGAATTTCCAATATTTTCCCAGAAAAATCTCAAACTTTTTCATCTCAAGAAGATATTGAATAGAGTGAAGCTCAAACAAAGTAATCATCAATGATTTTAAAAAAAAAAAACCTTGAGAGAATTGTTATCTTCCATTTGATTTAGAGATGAACAGAGGAAGAATCTCTTCACACATCGTCTAATTGAAGAATAAACATAACACACTAAAAGGGAAAAAAGAGCACAGATTTTTCCTCGGGAAAATCAAATTAATGGCAGAGGAATTATTGAATAAAAAAATGGAATATTCAACAGCAAAATATCAAACCCTTTGAATTTATTTTTAAGGTATTGAATGTATTTTTGTATATATGATTCGGTGAAGAAAGTTTTGGCTTTTAGTTTTGAGGTAACGTCGAAGACAACAAACCGGTTCAAACGTGTTACAAAGTGAACAAACTTTTCCGGTTCAAGCTGAATGCTTGGAGGAATCGGTCCACAGTCCACACGCTGAAAAACACACAAAGATGATCAAGATGAAATCATAGCAAAATGGTAATTCAAAATGCTTTTCGGTGTTATCCCTCTCTATCAATATTCGACCATTGAGTTTC